GGAGATGCATCTCGAGAGGGAAAGATTGGCCGGTTACGATTATTTGCAAGATTATTCAAGACCACACACCGAAGTCGTTGAACTGGAACTTACGGCAGCTGATGAGGAAGGTTTGGAGTTTGCTAGTGGAAGAGAATTTTCAGGTAATTTATTTAGTCTCTAGAATTTTCTTTTGTTGCTTTTCTCAATACTTAGTATTTATTTTTCATGGCACTCTTTGGTACGGGTATCTAATAATTGCTTTTGATAAATTTGGCACAATTTTACTGTAAAATCATAGAAAATCTGTTAAAATGGGGGTATGTAAAGTTTTTTTTTTAATTTGTTGATTATATATATATATATATATATATATATATATATATATATATATATATATATATATATATATATAATGGCTATACACCCCAGCGTGGGGTTAAACCGCAAATGCTTTCTAGATCCTATTTCTTAAGTGGATCAGTCTTTTTTTTGTTTATCTTATCTTCTTGACAATATCTCTCCATTTTTTCCTGTCTCTAGTTTTTCCTCTCCATTCACTGACTCCTGCCCTTTGGAGGTCTTCTTCAACTTCTTGCAGCCACTTTGATCTCGGTCTTCCCCTTCTCTTTCTTCCTCCTGGATATCATTCTATCATTGCGTATGTCACTGCCTCATCGCCTGCTCGCCAAATGTGACCTAACCATCTAACACTGCATTGCTTTATTTTAGTTACGATGTCTTCCTTAAGTTCTTCCTTAATTTCTGCATTTGTTCTGCTTCTATATTCATTTTGCTCTGTTCTGATTGGTCCTAGTATGGTTCTTATAATCTTTCTCTCTGCAATTCTTAAGTCTTCTTCATCTTTTTTAACCATCGTCATTGTTTCCCCTGCATATAATAATATTGGTCTAATTATGGTGTTATAAATGCTCATCTTGCTTTTTTTAGTCAGTGTTTTGCTTTTAAGTAATCTTTTGTTTGCAAAATAAGCTTTATTCGCTGCTAATATTTTTTCTTTTATTTCGGATTTCCTTTCTCCGGATTTACTTATTGTAACTCCTAGGTATTTGAAGTATTCTACTTCTTCAAACTCGGAACTTCCTATTTTGATCTTTTCCTTTATTGGTTTTTTCCCTAATCTTAATATTTTTGTCTTTTCTTGATTTAATCTTAGCCCCATTACCTCCCCTTTCTCTCTTATTTCTTCAAGCATTTCTTTCATTATTTTTCTGTTCTTTGCAATAATAGCAATATCATCTGCATATGCAATTATTTGACCACCTCTTGTTCTGAGATTTCCTTTATTTATATTTCGCAGTACATATTCTAATGCTAGATTAAATAGCGTTGTTGATAAGGCATCTCCTTGTTTCATCCCTTTATTTATACTGAATTCCTCTGTCTCTCCTCTTTGTGTCTTTATGCCTATTTTTGTAGTTCTCATTGTCATTTCTATTAATTTTCTGAGTTTATGTGGAATTTTTAATTTTTTAAGTGCTGTCATTAATACGCTCCTTTTAATAGAATCAAATGCCTGTTTGAAGTCTATGAATAACATTTCCAATTCTAATTTATACTCGTTTGCTTTTTCCATTATTTGTTTTATTGTGTGTATTGCATCTATTGTAGATCTTCCTTCTGTGAATCCACATTGGTACTGTCCTACTGTCTTCTTTGTGATCTTTGATAACCTCTTTTTTATTATTGATGTCAATATTTTATATGTTGTATTTAGTAATGTTATTCCTCTATAATTTTCACAGATTTGTTGGTCTCCCTTTTTATGTACTGTTATGATCTGTCCTACCTCCCAGTCACCTGGCATTTTCTCTTCTTTCCATATATTTTTCAATAGTGCCAGTATTTTTCCTCTTAGTTCCCTTCCCCCGTATTTTATTAGTTCCATATTAATTCCATCTTTACCTGGGGCTTTTCCATTTTTGCTTCTCTGTATAACTTCATCCAATTCCTCTAATGTTGGTTCTTTTGAAATTTCGATGTCTACTTCATTTGCTTCTTCTTCGTGTACTGTTTCCTCCTCGTCATGCATTTCTTCTTCTGTTGTTTCCTCCGTCAAGAGCTCTCTGTAGTAATCTTTCCATACTTGCTTGTATTCTTGGTCCTCTATTATCACTATTCCCTCTCTATTTTTTATTCCGTTTGTTTTGCCCTTGTATTTTTTGTTTTGTTCTTTAATCTTTTTGTAAAAACTTTTCGTATTTCTGTTTGTTCTTTCCTGCTCTATTTCCTGCATTTTTTTGTCTACCCATCTTCTTTTATTTTGCCTTATCACTTTCTTAGCATCCCTTCTTAATTTTTCATATTCTTCTCTGTCTTTCTCTTTATCTGTTCTTAGCCATTTATTTCTGGCTTGCACTTTTTTTCCTGTTATTTCTCTACATTCTTGGTTATACCATTCGTTTTTTGTTTTAGCCTGACTTTTACCTATCTGCATATTTGCACCTTCTTCTATTGATTTTTTGATCGTCTCCCATTCTGTGCTTATATCTTCTGCTTTATATTTCTCTTTTATTTGAACTGTTACTGCCTCTTCATATTTTTTTCTTACATCTTCATTACTCAATTTATTGACATTCCACTTTTTATGTTGGTTTTTTTGTTTTGTTTCAATTTTAACTTTTTGTCTTATAATGGCTGTGACCACGTAGTGGTCTGAATCTGCACACGCACCTCTGAACGTTCTTACATCTTTTATTGACGATTGTTTTCGCTTATTAATCATTATGTGATCAATTTGACTATATGTTTTCTGATCCGGTGACCTCCATGTTACCTTATGTATTTTAGGGTGTTCAAATTTTGTCGAGCTTATTAACAAATTTGCTCTTGTTGCTAGGTTACATAGTCTTTGCCCATTGTCATTCGTGTTTTCGTGTATTGTATGCTTTCCTGCAATTTGCTGTAAAAAGTCCTCTTTTCCAATCTGGGCGTTGAGGTCTCCCAGTACAAATATGACATCTTCTTTGGGTATTTTTTCTATCTCCTCTTCGACCTTATCATAAAAGATTTCTTTTTCGTCTGCATTGCTTGTTTCTGTGGGTGCGTATAAATTCAAGACTGATATATTAAATGGTTTGCTGTTGACTCTAACATAGGCCATCCTTTCGCATATTGGCTTGAAATTTATAATTTTCTCTCTTAGGTGACTAAGTATCATGAATCCCACGCCTTTTTGCCCTCGCTTCTTTCCTCCTGAATATAACATTGTAAAGTGTTGTTTATCAATCTGTCCCTGTCCCTCCCAGCGTAATTCTTGTAATGCTGCAATATCTATTTTATACTTTTTGAGTTCCTTTCCTATTTCTAGCATTTTTCCTGGAGTTAGCATAGTTCTTATGTTCCATGTGCTTATTTTCAACTCTTTATTTTTTTTGTTCTGTTGTCTTCGTCCTTTATTTTTGTTTTCTTGTCCATTTTTCTTTATTTCACTTTTGTTGTGCCCGGGTTTATCTGCAGTTATTTCCTGTTTCTTTGCCTTGTTCGTCAACGAATAATGTATCCTCTCATCCCTTGCTAGTTTTTTGAACCACCTCCATGATGGTCCTCCAGCTGGTTGGTGTTTCTATTCCATCTCCTTTCTAGACCATCTATTATAAGTTTGTTGGCTTTAATTTGGACACGTTTACCTTTCTTTATTTCATCTTTTGCTATTCTTCGTATTTCCTTCTGTATTTGTAATTCCTCTGTCGTTAGATCATTGTTTATATATATTTTTTCTTTTTTCACTTCTTTAAGTTGACTTTTGTTTTCCATAATTTTTGTTTTTTCTTCTTTGTTTGGCAATCTGACTAAACATGTTTTATCTCCTAGTTTCACTGCTTCATCTATATTTACGGTAATATTTAGCTCTTTTGTCATAAAATTTTCTATCACTTCTTTTAGTATTCTTCTATCTCCAGTTTCTATTGTCATTCCCTGTATTATCACATTATTTTCTTTTCTTATTCTATCCAGCCTTTCAAGGCGACCTTTTGTCTCATTCAGATCCTTTTTGGATAGGATTAGATAGGATAGATTTTTTTGATAGAGATGGTAGGAATTTGTTGATTAATTATTGCAAAAATAGCTTCAAAGGTTGAATTGAAAATTATTGTCATATTTTTAGTATTGATTTACCATGGGGGCAAATATCGTTCATATTTAAGAAATATACTAGTTCAATTAATTTGAGGGGGATTTGCTGTTGATAATGCCACATTAACTCGATTATTTACTTTCAATTTCATTCTATCTTTCATTGTTTTTGCACTCATAATTATTCATTCGTTATTTTTACATCAAACAGGATCAAGAAATCACTTAGGAACAAAAATAAATATTGATAAAATCCCATTTCATCCTTATTTTACAATTGAACGGTTAGGTTAGGTTAGGTTATTTTACAATTGAACGGTTAAGAAGGGTTAAATAAGAAGGACCGTCACGTTATATTGTTTCGAGAAAATAGGAAGTTTAACAATAGAAAGGTAACAATAAATTAGATGTGAAATAAAAACCAGGTAGCACTTCTTTCTTCCTATTATTCCTATTTTTTGCATGGAACGTTGCAAAACAATTTTTGTCGTGTTTGAGACAAAATCTGACATTGCAAGATAAACATTTCCACTTTGTTCTGTTAACATTTGCTGTCGTGCTGCAGTTGGCACATCTCAAAGAAGTAGTTCTTTGGGGCTTATGAGAAGACTTTGAATGGCGCAGTTCGAAGGGAATATGCCTTTTTAATTTACTCACTGGTTTTTCTACTGATGGTCCTCTTCTTTTTAATTGTTCTGGAGCTCTAATAGGACCTTTAATCACAGAGAGCTGGAATTCTTTCAAAGAGATACTTTTGGATTGGCTTCTAAGTTGAAATAAAATCAATGCGTTTACGATGCAAGCAATGTTCTATGCCACCAGTTGTGTGATTTACTGTATCAACGAGTGTCATGGAAAAATCGTTAGTTCTCTAGTCTATATCACAATTTTTATCTTTGTAAAGGTGATGGATACGTATATGTAGCCTCAGTGGCTTCAGGCTCATCCGCCGAAGGCAAACTCTTTCAGCACGATCGAATCCTCAAAGTAAACGACATCGATTGCAGTCAAGGTTCTTTGCGTATGGTAACAGAAGCCATTAGGTCCAGTATGCCGCTGGCTAGAGTCTTGGTCAAACGAAACCGGTGCCTTAGGAACGAAGTGAACAACGACCAGGTCACCAAATGGATTCATACTGCCAGATTGGTGCCAGGCTGCCACGGATTGTCGCTGAAAATGGGAGTGTACATCAATAGGATTAGCGAAGGAAGTTTGGCTGCGAGAGACAAGAGTTTGACGGTAGGGGACAGAGTTCTCAGGGTAAGTACCTTATATATCCACATATTTTAAAGCATGTATTTGTCTAATATATTAGCATATTATAATGTTCAACAATAATTCAACATTTTATAGACACCATTTATTTGTAACTTTTATTTATCTGTACATTTGCTTCTAAAATATATATTCATAGACTAACTTTAATACCGAAAAACCTGCTTATACAGGGTAGCCAAAAAGTATGGAAGCACAGTAATTTCTACGAAACCAATGATTGTATATTTATGAAATTATAGGATCATGAATAAGATGATATTCTGCATTTTCTAGAGAATATCTCAAATTTATGTGATGTCAGCGGTTCACTTATCGCCGCCATCTAGATTTTGTTAAAATAGCAACCTAGGTCGAGTGATTTATCATAGAAAATCTTATTTTTTCCTCTTTTCAGCAATACCAAAAAACTAAAATATAACTTATGAAAAATTCTGTTACATGTTATCTTATTAATCCATTTTTATTTTTTAATATTCTTGGGTACACCACTGATAGGTAGATAATCTAACTAAAACCAGTAGTAAACACTGAAAAAATGTCAAAAAACATTTTGTATACGATAAAATTTCAAGTTTTAAATTAGTCTTACTTGTATTTGATATCTGAAGTATTTAAAAGTAATTTAATAATAATAATGAATACTTTAGGCAATATTTAAATATCCTTTTCCCCCAGAGATAGATTGGTCGAAGAGGTGCAATTGATGGCAAGATCTCCTGACTTGACTCCACTTGATTTTTTTCGTGAGGCTCTCTGAAGGACCAGCTCTATGTAAACAGAGCAAATAATTACGTCTTGAAATGCAGGCAGTTTCTTCAGAAATGGTCAATGATTTCATTCGAAACTTCCAAGATTTTTTTCATTTTAATTGTTCATCATCATCATTGGCTCCACAACCCATGGTGGGTCTTGGCCTGCTTATGGATAATTCACCATTCTCTCTTATTCTTCCCCTTGGCTTTCCAGTTTCGTACTCCCTTTGACAATTTTTACTTATCAAAATTATTATAAATTATTCAACAATTACATGATATTTGGACATTTTTCTTGCATTATATTAGTTATAGGGTATATTACATTAGCAATAGGGTACTTCTTTGGTATTGCTGAAAAGTGTAAAAAATATGGCGGCGCTACGTTAAACGCTGACGTTACATTAATTTGGAATACTCTCTAGAAAATTCAGAATATCATCTCATTCATGATCCTAGAATTTCATAAATATATATTCATTGCTTTTGTAGAATTTACCGTGTTTCCATTGTTTTTCGCTACCTTGTATAGCCCAAACACATAACATCCTGATATTTTTGTTGAACAGTCGAAGTTTCTAGATCGATAGGGGTCTTATAAGGGAAGTGAATGACCATGCGACCTTTGATTCTGTATGTACTCGTTATTTCTAGATAATGTGTCGTCACCGAATTCTGTAGGCTGGTGGCTTGTCAGTCTTCAGCTACATTTTAATTGTGGATTGTAGGGATTACGATCAGAATAAAAAGGCACCATCATCCTCACAATATGTTTATTCTGAACATTACATTATAATACCTGTGTTGCTTTAAAAGCTGTGATCATAATAATAACAATAACAATAGCCTAGTAGGTCCATGGCTTGATTGACCATTGTCCTCCATCCCTTCTTGTCCATTGCTTTCATCCTTCACAAATTGTGACGTTTTTAGGTCATCTACATCCATTTTTCACCTTGTTTTAGGTTAACCTCTTCTCTGACGAACTCCTATTGTACTTAACAGTAGCATTTTCGTTAGACTATCCTCTGGTATCCTCTGTATGTGTCCTAGTCATCTTAGACGTTGGGTTTTTAATATTTCTAGTATGCTGGGCTCTCCATATAACTTTCTTATATCATTATTTGTCCTTCTGATCTAAACTCCATTCTCCATTTTTCCTCCAAACATTTTTTCCTTAGTACTTTTAGGTGCCATATCTGCGCCATTTCTTGTTGTTTTTTATTTAATGTCCATGTCTCTAATCTCTAATGCATAAGTTACTATAGTCCTAATAACCGTTCTGTATATTCTTAATTTGGAACCTCTTGATGTGCATTTTTTTTCTTAGCAACCTATCAATAATAATAATAATAATGGCCTACTCTTGACGGAATATACTAGTACATGTTAAGAAATTCTATCACCTCAACTAAAACATATCCAGGCTCAGATGTCTTCTCAGATCATAGTCTATTGATTGCTAATATCAACATGCGACTACGAAGTTATAGATAGAAATCCGTCGTCATTGTCTATCCGTTTCGTTCCTGTTCAGCGTGTATCCAGTTTGTCCGACATTCTAGATTTATAGAAACGGATGGTTCTATGGTTCTAAAGTTTTTAAAATCAGTTTTGTGACCTGTATAAAGATGGTGTCAACCTAGCGCTAAAATTAAATCGGAATTTGAAATAGAAATGGAATGTTTATGAATACTATTTTGGATTGTACGATTTGTTTGGCCTATGTAAGATGGGGGTAGTTTGCACAAGGAATTTCATAAACAACGTGTTGTTCATTTGAAACGTTATCTTGGACTAATCAGACAAGAGATGCAAGTTTTTGTTGGGAGGCAAATATTGTCTTTATTTCTCTTAATTTGAGGATTTTGTCAGTGAGATCTTTGAGTGTAAGGAAGAGAAGCTTTCGTGTATTAAAGATCTGAGTCTTTGGATTGAGATTGATGCCTTTGTATGCTCCTATTGTACTTGACAGTCGCATTTTCGCGATTGTAGCATTTAGCTCCTATTGTTGTGATTTTCGCGGGAACCATTTTGGATGAGGGCTTGTTTTAAAGAAGAGAGCTCAGCGGATCTACTCGCATCATTGCAAAAGCGATTATTGATCTAGAAAGAAGGGTATTAATGACTGAATTAATTTTTTAACGTGAGTGATGAGATTTCGGTAAACAGACTGATGAAAACCTTGGAATTGGTTTTTCCTTATGAGAGCGATATTTTCAATTTTATAATTACTTCTGTTTTATAATGGGGTCATCCCGTAAATAAATAAAATTAAATAATCTCTTTAATATCTTATAAATGTGTTGTAGATAAATGACAAATCGATGGACGATATAGAAAGCGCCCACGAAGCAATGCAAATTTTAAACAGCGATTCTGGTGACGTCATCAACATAACAACGTTGAAGATGAGCTATCCGGAATGTCCTAATGTTTTTACACCTGTCAGGAGGCACAAAAAAGAGAACCGCAGCTCTCAGACGGAGGATTGGATGTTGCAAGATTATAAAGAGAAAAATAATAGTGGTGCTTGGCTAAAGGTAAGACATTCTGTAACAGTTGTCCAGATTGTCCAGTTCTTTATAGTCTCTTGATCACTTTACACAATGATCTCCTTGTTTGCATAACATTATAGTTTCTTCTGTATTATTTCTACTTTTATTTTAATTATTAGGAAAAATTAGATATGATGCGAGGTCCTTGGCGACATTCTAAAGAAGACAAGAAGAAATACAGGAACAGTTCACCAAATCCTATAGATTACGGACATGAACAAGCCATAGCAGAACTGGATTTAGTCCTGGATAGTTACCACCATGGTACAGTGAAAAGATCTGCAAGTAAGTACTAGAAATATCCCTTTTTATTTTAGTCTTACTTATGTTTTGAACTTTGTAGTTACAAAAAAGCACTTTCCGCAAACGAAAGAAGAAAAAAACAACGGAGGAACCTGGCCGAAAGCGAGAGCAGCTCCGATCATCACCCAAAACGGAGGCACTGTAGTGACGAGAACTAAAGAGAGACCACCGCTGTCGCTACTAGCGCCAAAAAGTAATCATCAGTTGCAAGAAACATACAACTATCGAAACTCGACTCCGGTGCCACTATCTCTCGTTTCACCTACTACAATTCAGCCGAACTATGCGAGACATTCTGTATACAAAAGCGTCGATAACTCTCACCATTTTGGTATGGTGACTGACTCGTTCGAAAGGTTGAGGTCTGGGAATAATCGATTGAGTGTTAATGTCAATTCGGATAATAGTTTGGATTTTCCGGTACATCGATTTGTCGACAAAGAAGTGATGACGTACTGCAAGAAAAATAACAGATCTGGTATGTATTTTTCACTCCTCTAGTAATCAAAAATTAATATGTAATGATATGGCCATGGCAAAAGTCACTACGTTTATTGACAAGTATTTGTAGTATTATGTAAAGTTTAAATATAATGTTCTTCATCTTTGGATTATAACATTTGTGATAAATAAATCAAGTAATTAATGAAATTATGTTTAATGTGTATATCCTAAATATAAAATATCTATATACAAAGATGAGAAGTTCAGTCAATCCTATGTTAATATCTTCCACTAGATAAACAAATATTTTCAAAACTGAGACTGAAAAAAATATGTTACTACACCAAAATTCTTTATTTTCGTCATTTATCACATCTTAACATTCTAACATTACCAATTTATATAGTCTTCTTATTCTTCTTGTTCCATGACCGTTATCGATCGTTGGATATCATGTTGGCTACCATATTCGCTATCGTGACTTTATTGACAGCTGCTCTAAATAACGATGTAGTTGATTTTCCATACCATTGCCTTAGATTTTTCAGCCATGATGTTCTTCTACCAGGACCACGATTACCTTGGATCCTTCCCTAAATGATCAGATGCAAAAGATCATATTTTTCAGGGTGTTTCATAATGTGACCGAAGTATTCCAGCTTGCGTTTCTTTATTATATTGACCAGTTGTGTTGTTTGGTTCAGCCGTCTAAGGACCTCCTCATTTCTAACTCTGTTCTGCGGTTGGATCCCTGCTCTCATTGATATTACTGCCGAGATACACGAGTTTCTCTACTCTAGCCAGTGTGGCATCTCCGACTTTTATACCGTCATCCTGTATATAATTTTTTTCGCTATCATATTGGCGACGTGCAAGTACTTGGATGTGATACGAGAAACGATCGTGCGCGAGTAGCGGAGAAATCTTGCATTTTTTACTGCACATTTCATAGATTTCATAAATTCATATTGTCAATTGTCATGTTTTATATTCGTTTGTTTATTTACACCTTCTGTCACTGAAGAAAATGGGATTTAGTAAATGCTGTGTTAGAAATTGTAAAAATACAACAAAAAATTGTCAATTTAAGTTTTATTCGTTTCCAACTTCGAAGCACAAATTACTACAAAGAGAAAAGTGGAATTATATCATAAAAAAGCATAAGTTACATAACATAAATTATGCATTATTCTTGCGCCCGATTTTAAAGTCGGTTTGAAGTAAATAATAAATAAAAGTTCACTTTAAAGTGTAAATTCACTCACTTAGAGTTCACTTTAACCCAAAAATTAAGTTTAATGTTTAAATTTTATTTTTTTTTTTTTTTGAAGTTTACAAAATTGCATCAAGTTCAAGTTTTTCTGAAGATGAATTAAGATATATTCGCCGTCCAAAAGTTTACAGGGAAAAAATTAATTGTTCAAACCAATATAATGATATCATGGGCTTAACCTGCTAATTTATACATTTATGCATTAGCATTATTTATGGTAATTTATTTTTCTTAATTCTTCCACATTCTTAACATGATTTGCCACTACTAAAGCTTTTCCCTTTGACTCAGTGCTTGGTTGAAAAGTTATTTGGTGATTTACTTTCTCAAATCCAGTTTTTATTATTGCATCCATATTAACAGTAATGCTGTAATTTAATAATATATTTATTTGTATTTACACTACATACAACGTTTACCTTTTAATAACATACCGACATAACCTCAATCTTACTTTTTCTTCTTTTTTTGGGGCTACGTCCTTGACAGTTATCCGGCAACCTCGATATAACATGAAAGCGCAGTAAATTTTGCTGATTTACGACGCCAGGTGTCGCTGTTCCGAACTTGCACGGTCCCAATATTTAGTTTTCTTAACGTTGTTTTAATCCATACTGATCACAAGTCTGTTTTATTTTGTTCATTAGATTTTGAAGGTCTTCTCCGCAATTAGCAGGGATTAAGATATCGTCGGCATATCTAATATTGTTGACGGTTACTCCATTCACAATAATACCTTCGATTGTCTCCATTAAGGCTTTCTTAAATATTTCCTCCGAATATAAGTTAAAAAGTAAAGGCGACAATATACAGCCTTGTCTCACTTCTCTTTTTATATTATTTCATCCGACAGTTCTTGTTCAACCTTTATTCTTGCCACTTGATGCCAGTATAGATTTGTAATTAGTCGTAGATCTTTATCGTCCAATCCAGCTGTTTCCAATATTTCTAGCATTTTGTTATGTCGGACTTTGTCAAAAGCATTTTCAAAATCGATTGCACAAATGTACACATTTTGATTTATATCTTTGCATCTCTGTACTAGCACCTGTATACTAAACAAGGTTTCTCTTGTACCCAAGCCACTCCTAAACCCAAATTGAGTATTGCTAATTATGTCCTCTAACAGCGTGTAAATTCTGCTGTGTATTACTCGCAGGAAGATCTTCAAAACGTAACTCATCAGACTTATTGTCCGATAATCACCGCATGTCTTTGGACGATGTTTCTTAGGTATTGTGACAAATGTCGACTTTAACCAATCAGTTTGTAATATCCCAGTGTCATAAATTCTGTTAAAGAGATTACACAGAGCTTTAATTCCATTTTCTCCCAAAAACTTTAGTATTTCAGCACTTACTTCATCGGGGCCAAGCACTTTGTCATTTTTTGCCGTTTGTATTGAACGTGTAACCTCACTTTCTGTTATAGATGGACCTGATATAGCAATCGGTGTATAGTGTTCTACTCTCATCTTCAAATAATTCAGAAATGTAGTTTTCCTACCCTTTTAACTGTTCATTGATGTCTAATATTCTGTGTCCGTTTCTGTCTTCTAAACTTTGGGATACTTGTTTCCGTTTGTTTCCAGCGACCTCTTTTAATTTCTTTTCCAGGTGAAACGTATCGTGTTTCTTTTCGTATTGTTCTATTTCATTACATTCTTTACTATGAAATTATGTTTTCGCATGTCTTATCTTCTGCCTGATTATTGCGTGGATCATCTTGTATTCGTTTTTATCTTTATTTCTGACTTCTCTTCTTTGATCCATAAGTCTCAGTATTTCTTCTGTCATCTACCCTTGTTTTTTCTTGCTTTTAGCGCACCCAATTTTGTTTCTTGAACACTCTTTAAGATGTCTATAATTCTCGTCCAGATTTCCTCAGTACTTTCTTCTTTGCTTGATGTTAACTTCATTTTTTGTTCTAATATACTAGTTATTTCTTGTTTTACAGTATCATTTAGCATCTTTTCTCTATCAATAGTAACTGTTTGCTTATTCGTCCTTGCGACTCTTTTTAATCTCAGTCTTATTTTTCCTACTAAAATATTGTGATCTGTTGGTACATCTGCGCCTGGATATGTTTTTACTGCTTATACTGAATTTCTGCATCTCTTATTTATATAGTCTATAAATCAATATTTGCTTAGTTCTCTTAGCTAATATGCTTTCTTAGTGGCAAATGTTTGATAAAATTGATATAGTTATCAATTTGATACCTTAGCTGAACGATTTTATACATTTTTTCCCTTAATATCAGAATAGAAAATCTAAATATCTTATTATTATAGCTATATTATGTTGATATCAAATGATTGTCCATTTAGCTTTAATACCATAACTCTGGCGGTGTTTGGTAAAAAATCATTTATATATTATTTTAGACTAGGTATTATCCATATTCCCACCTCTGACCACGCGTTATCGCTCCCTGAATAATAGAGACGATTATTATTTGTTGTTTCAATATAACCTCCTCGTTTTCATCTTTCCTTGCTCATCCTAAGAATGTTTCGCTTCATTCTTTTCATATTGATTTTAGTAATTGCAAATTTGTCAGCTGTCTCGAGTTTTAACGTTCCATGTATCGGTTTTTATTCTCCCCACCTAAAGTTATCTACTTAGTTTAGAAGAAGAGTAATCCTAAACAGAATTTCTTAACCTTTGTGCTCTTATATTCCAGTTCCCAAATACGGATCCGACTCAGAACGCGAGAGTCTTACCGGAGGCCACCCGGAGATGAACCACTCCCATTCAAGGGGTCACAGTCAACTGTTCATATCGCCTAGGTTTCATTACCCGTACCAGCCGCATCACATCCACCAACTCAACCAATCGCGAGAAAGTTTCAGCTTCGAGCCATTTCATCACGTCCACAGTCCATCCGCAGATGTCGCCACTTCCCGCAGGCAGCCGGATTTACTGGAATCGGGGGGAACATTTCCGAGGAAGAACCAAAGAATACGTGTCCCCTCAAATCCTAGTGTGACGAGTAAAGTAAGTCATATACTTTATTAAACATATAAGTAGGATAAAAGATTATGAATTGTTTGTGTGAGTCAATTTTCGATAGGTAAAAAATAGAAAAGAAAAGACACAATTGGCATTAGGTCCAGGTTTAATAAAACCAAGTATGAGTCTTTTTCTTTTTACACTAGGACATGAAATCCTAGTGTAAAATCTTTTCAAATCCTAATGTAAAATCCTTCGTTTAAATCTTAGTAAAAATATCGGTTACACTCATGATACTAAGACAAACAGATAAGATACCGCGCATGTGGGCGTGGCTTATGCATGACTTTTGTGACGTCAACTTGTGCTAAATTTCGCCATATTGTGTTTTGACGTTTATGTACATTTACGGTTCATAGCCAATATTTAATAAAATAATATTTTAAAAGTGTTACAAGGCTTTAAATTTTTCCCGATATGAGGTGTGCAGTGTATGGTTGTGCCGTTGACAATATGTGCAAGAGTTTTGTACCCGGTACAGCATTTTATAGCTTTCCAAAAGACAAGGAAATGTAAGCTGTTTGGAAACATTTTTGTAAACGCCAGGATAATTTTAATGTTAAATTTGCTCGTATTTGCTCTAAGCACTTTGTTGAAAGTGATTGAAGTGATAAATCGGTCATTCAGGTTGGCAAAATATAAAACAGAAGTCAACTACTTTATAAGTTTATAGAACACGTTTCGCTTTATACTTCTAAAGCTTCATCAGTTCTAACTCAATATGTAGTATTAAAGATGTTATTATATATTTACTTAAGTTTACTCATTATTTAGAACTAACTTAAAAAAAAACAGAAACAAAGGACACAAAAACTTTGCAAAAAATAATATTCGCAGAAACGAAGATTTAACAAAATTCTAAACGTACATTTGGCTTCATTTAGAGATGGTTCTCCAATGAAGACAATCAAAACACTGGTGAGTGTTAATATCACGTTAATATCACAATATCGTGGCAATATCATATCTGGTATCCTTATATCATGGGTTGCACTCTTGTGGTGTTGAGCCCTCAATCGGCTATGCCAATCGATTTTCCATGTTGCACTTCGAAAAACAAAGTTTGTACTTTATCATTATTTATTTATAACTCAACAATACAGTCGTAACCCAGGTTAGTTCGACAGCGTAAACAAGAGACAGTATCTGAACCCTACTCCTATCAAAAATAATTTAGTAAAACTAAAAGTTTCTTTTAAATACTAAATCTGTGGCACATAATTTCTTCTGACTCTACAGGGTCATGCAAGAGGTTTTTCGACTGATAACATATTGTTTATTTGACAGTGAACTGAATCATGCAAAGTTTTGTGCTATTACTAACTACAATAACTATAAAATTCTTACTAGAAAGGAAAAATTAGGCTAAAGGTTGAAATTCAATTCAAAATCATCTGCACTGCTCATTTTTAGTTTTTCTTGACTTGCTATTTCACTTTCGATTGAATACCAGCATTATTTTAATACTTAAAACTGCGTTCATTTAACTTGTTTAGGTGAGTACTGGAAGCATCGAAAGAGGCAGCTCAGAAAGAGGTAGTCCCATGCCGATATTTCACGTAGAAGTTCTCAGCAGTCCTGGAGATCACTCCGGCGCTTCGACCGCTAACCCAAAGGATTATTGCCGCTGGGGCCACAAACCGGTTCCGGGGGAGCTTCGACGAGTTCACATCGACAAATCGAACGAGCCACTTGGGATCCAGATCAACTGTCCCGAAACAGGCGGAATCTTTGTGTCGACTGTGAGCGAAAACAGCTTGGCTAGCAGAGTGGGCCTTCAAATAGGAGATCAGCTGTTGGAAGTGTGCGGCATTAATATGAGGAACGCGACTTATAACTTGGCAGCAAATGTTTTACGACAATGCGGCAACTCAATTACAATGTTGGTGCAGTATAGTCCCGATAAATACCACGAACTTGGAGGTGATACTGGAACTTGTTCAGGTGAGATATCTTTTATTTAATTACTACATGCTTTTATATAAAGCTTGCCACAAAAGTCCTAACCAACAAAATCAATAAAATCACAACTTTGTCAGATGAACAACAAGGATTCAGATCCGGAAGATCCTGCGTACACGCCATATTTATACTAAGACAAATGACATAGAATGAAAGAAAGAAATAATGCCAAAAGAATGGAGTGGCTGTATTATCGTGCCAATACATAAAAAAGGCAGAAAGGATACATGTGGCATCTACAGGGGAATCTCACTAATCGGTACTACATATAAGATATTAGCTTCAGTTGTACTAAAACGATAACTGCCATATACACAGGAAATTATTGGCGATTACCAATGCGGCTTTAGGCCTGGAAGATCAACAATCGACCAAATATTTACTATCAGGACAAATGCTAGAAAAAGTATTGGGAATATAATAAAGAAGTACACCAGATCTTCATAGATTTCAAACAAGCATATGATTCCATAGATCGCTTAAAACTGTGGAGTGCAATGATGGAGTTAGGCGTACCAAAGAAGCTGACCATGATTGCGCGAATGTGTGTCAACAATTCCTTCGTACAAATTAGAATAGGAGGCAAAACTTCAAAGGCTTTCGGCATAAGCACCGGGCTCAGACAGGGAGACCCGCTGTCCCCATTACTATTTAACCTAGCATTGGAATACGCAATGCGAAGAATCTATACCAGAGTCAAACCAGACATAACTGCCAGAGGAGCAAAGATTATTCTCGCATTTGCAGATGATGTAGATGTAGTAGCACAGACAACACTGGAAATTAGGGATATAGTATCGAACTTTAAAGACGCAACACTAAGCGTAGGCCTGAAAATAAACGAAGAAAAAACTAAATACATGGTCGTATCAAAAAAGGAACGACAGCGAATAAGACAAAACATTACCATAAACGATCATAATTTTGAGGTGGTCAAAGAATTCAATACCTAGGAGCAACAGTTACCAGTGAAAACACAGGAGAACGGGAGGTTGAAATACGAATACTGGCGAGGAAATAAATCATTCTTTGCCATTCAACATCTAATGAGGTCAAAGCTTCTCTCAAGGCGTGCCAAAATCCAAATGTACAAAACCATGATACGACCAGCAGTGACATATGGAAGTGAAACATGGACATTGAGAAAGAAAGAAATCAATAAGCTATTAGTATGGGAACGCAAAATCCTGCGAATTATATATGGTCCTTGCAGGGACCAGCGTGACAAATGAATGGAGGAGCAGATACAACAATGAAATAGAGACTCTCTTCGGGAAAGGAAACATCGTAAGATACATAAAAGCCAATAGATTAAGATGGGCAGGCCACGTGGTACGGAGTGATGACGACAGACTGATTAGCAATGTGTTTTGGGAAAGACCAGATGGTAAAAGATCGACAGGAAGGCTAGAAAAAGGTGGGAAAGACGCAGTCAGGGAAGACCTGGAGAAGATGGAAGTAAGGCCATGGGAAATAATAGCACAGGATCGGAATCAATGGAAGGCAATAGTAAACGCGGCAAAAACTCACGAAGAGTTGTAAAAGCCAATGATGATGATGACAAATGACATAGGCTTTCTATCGTATCCAAGTCGAAGACGTCTTATACCTAATGTATAAAAGAACATACCAATCAATATTATACAAGCCATCGAAAACATCTACTTCCATAATCGATACAGGCAAAGATAAATAAAAAAATTACAGTGCATACCAGTACAAAGCGTAGTCAGACAGGGTGACTCGTTAAGCCCACTTCTCTTTAATATAATAATTAGCAAAATAATACAAGCAGTACGTAAAGCTTATGGTTACAGAATGAGGAACAAAGAAATGCAAATATTATGTTAGGCCGACGACGCCGCATTAATCTCCGAGACAGGACGACCTCCAGATAATAATACACATCTGTGACAACATCTAAATACCCACTAAGATGTAAAATCAAGATTGCTGGGAAAATAATAAAGCAGGAAGCCTTGCTTCCTGCTTCCTGCTACCAAGCATCGTCACGACAAGGCTCTCATGCGTAGTTTTCGAGACTCCAGTTGACTTATGCCCACCCCTGTATATATTAATAAACTCTGCTGTGTGTTGATAAAACGTTTAATAAAATATTGTCTAGGTTCGACTTCCGAATCGGAGGAAGAAGATGAAGAAGTGGACGGCGAAGCCACACCATGTAATTCACCGAAAGAAGTGCGCAAGAGCTCTTCTCTTCAATTAAAACCGTCGCAATTGATGGTTATACAGCGCCAAGCGCAAAATATTTCCAACAGTAGTAATTCTAGGTAAGTAAATAGCTGTAAAACAGTTCGCTTTGATTAATGTTAACACCATTTATTTTCCTAAAAAAAACACAGAAGTTAAAACACTTCACACATTTGTATTGTGGTATAAAAACAAACAAATATTTAAAACTTTATAAAAGTGTCATCAACATTTAAATTCTGGCAGAACGTTTTCAATCTGAACAGATCATCCTCAGTGCCTTGTGTATTTGTTGCTAACAGTAAAGTTGTGTAAGACCTCCATGTGTGGATTTACAATATTCCAAATTTTACATTTAATAATGTTTTGACTCCAGGTCGATGACAATGGATATATTTTTAAAACTACTTAAGGGACTACATGTCTCCCTGCTCGAATATTAGCACGTGGTACTTGTCAGTTGAAGCGACACAGCAACTGGCTGAGGTGACAGGAAATAATTTAAAGACAGCTGAACGTGACTAGATGTCAATATGTTCCGAAATTAATGTAATTTTTATTGGTGAAATTATAAAATTTATGTACTTGTAGTAATAACTAATATCTTATTAATGAAACCTGTATTTAAAAATTTGATTTGTTTAAATGATAAGATTTATTGTCTACATCAGTAAATCTATTCTCTCTCTCTCTCTATTATATCTCTCTTAAATAATATTTGTTTGTTTTTATACCACAATACACATGTGTGAAGTGTTTTAACGTCCGTGTTTTTTTTTTTAAACGATGGTATACAGCCAATTACGGGGTTTTTCCCATTAATTTTATTTATTTTTCTGTTTTTTCTCGTGTATTTGCAAAACTATTAAAGAAATTTTAACTTTGCTTAGTGTGGAGTTCCAAAGTGTTATCTTGTTTTCAAAATTTTAGGGGCTCTTCTGAAGAACCAAGATACCTGTGCATAGAAACTCTAAAAACGTCAAATCTAGGCATATCTTTAGTAGGCGGAAACGCCGCCGGCATATTTATTCACTCGGTTCAACCTGATTCGCTAGCGTATCATGCCGGGCTGAGAACCGGGGACCAGATACTGGAGTACAATGGTAGTGATCTCAGAGCAGCTACAGCGGAAGAAGCTGCGTACGAATTGGCCAAACCGGCCGACAAAGTCACCGTTCTTGCTCATTATCGAATCGACAGTAAGTATTTAGACATATATATTTTTTTATAAAGGAGAAATCTACAAACTTACGCATACATAGTCAAATAAACCAATATAAGAGCTGCTTAAAATTAATTTTTTTAAATATTTGTTATATACAGTGGTGAGTGCCATATCACCCGGCTTTTTAACGTAAGAGATAGAAAACACAGTTACCTTGTGAAATAAAAGGAGGTGAAACTCGTAGAGGGTGGGAAATAATCGATAGAAACCTATTATTTACATTACATTACATTACGACTATCGATAGTCTCACACCTTTAGACGTTACCTTCGATCTAAATCACCTCGGTCATAATTATTATGTTTGACAGTTTGGACGTCGTATGTGTGACGTATTTCCATTTTTTAATTTAGATAAAGTAAAAACTGATTGATCACATAAAGCAAAAATGTGAATAAAATAATTTAATTAATAGTGATTACTTATTCTAAAGTTTTAAATTATTAACCAAGAATAATTTCTACTATGATTTGAGGAGTTTCATACACTCTTGTCACAGAATAACTAGCAATCCTTCGTGGATTAGTGGTAAGAATTCGATACACATAAATATCTTATTGAAAAAATAGTGTCGTCGTACTTTCGAAAATAAGGTAAAAATTCTTCAAAATTAAAAGAATGTTTAAATAAGTAAAAATTTTACAAAAATTAAAAAATATTGTAAATAAACGTATCTACAATATGTTCAAATAGCCTTCATTAGCAGCAGAATAATAACCCAAACTGTCACTAAAGAATTATAAAAGTCTGATGGATCAGGGTTCAAGGCACGATGTACTCATGCAGGCGGTTAGGGTTCAAATCCTACACGAAGTTTTTACTTTTTTAAAAATTTGAAATTATACAGATATTATATCGTTTTGCTTTAAATCATAAAACATTTATTTCAGTCTTTATTAGAAGTGTTTATAGTAAAACATGAAAATCTTATTGAAAAAACAATGTCGTACTTTCGAAAATAAAGTAAAAATTCTTCAAACATAAAAGAACGTTCTAAATAAATGTACCTACTTACAAAAAATGTTTAAATAAGCAGAAATTCTATAAAAATATTCTAAATAAACGTATTTTATTCTAATGAAATGTATTTACAAAAAATGTTCAAATAAGCCTCCATTAGCAGCAGAACAATAACCCAATCTATTATAAAAGTTTCGTCTAACATTAGTTAATGTTTTTGGACTAATACCTCTCATTGAATCAGAGATCTTTTCTCTTAATTCTTGAAGAGAATTAGGCCTATCGTCTTCAATTCCATATAGTTTAGACTTGATATATCCCCACATAAAAAAATCACAAGGTGCAAGATCAGGTGATCTTGCAGGCCAAAAAATATCTCCGTGTCCACTAATCAATCGATTAGGAAAGAGTCGCACTGAGATATTCACTGACGATGTGAGAATTATGTGAAGGACAACCATCGTGTTGAAACCATATGGAATCGAAAGGAATTGGTAAATTACGAAGGGCTGGGACAATTTGATTTTGCAGAAGTTTCAAGTATTTCCGCCCAGTTAACATACCGTCTATAAAAAATGGACCAATGACATTATTCCCTATTATGCCTCCCCAAACATTTACTTTTTGAGGACGCTGGGTACAAGCGACATAAATCTGACAAGGATTTCCTCGGGACCAATACCGAGCATTCATTGAATTGTGACGGCCATGCAATGAAAACGTACATTCATCAGTGAACAAGACGTTCTCTAAAAAATGTTCATCTTGATGTGACATTTCCATTGCAGATTGACAAAATTCTAAACGTCTATATTGATCCCAGGGAATTGTTCGTTGGATTTATGAAGTTTATAGGGTCGGTATCCATGTCTTTTCAAAATTTTACCTCTAAATCTTGAAATTCCATATTGTTCTCCGAGACGAGATGTTGATTGGGTAGGATTTTGCTCAATACTTGCACAAATCAAAGTGTCCCTTAGTTCCAAATCTGGATTTACCTACCTTCGTCTACGAACTCCTCTTGGAGCGAACACGGATAAATAAGTAAAAAAATTACGTATAATAGATTGAATTGTTGATCGTGATGGAGCCGGCCTATTTGGAAACATATTTACGAATTGTTGTCTAATCATGTTGTCTGAGAATCCATTCACATGTCAGACAACAATTTGCACTTTTTCCTCGACCGTTAAAACCATTGTCACGAATTGTTTTTTTAATAAAAAGTTTCTGTTTACTGTGCAAAAACACTTCTCGATATGTTATTATTTGATGGCTTAAAGACTTCGCTTCGCGCGCATGCATTCCAATGTTGTCAATTGTTTTGAAAATAATTACCTGTACAGAGGAATTGATATTAACATTGAGAATTTAGTGATGGATTTGATATAAACAGTCTTCACCGGATTATTTTGCATTCACAACTGAAGACTGTATGAATTGACTTTGTATTTCCATTTTTATAATATTGGAATAAAAATAAATTGTAAATAATGAGTTTTTCGAACATTTGTTACCTAATATGTATCATATTTTCTATTATTTTTTTATTGATAAAACAAAAATGTTATCTTTGGTGTAAATTGAACCCCAATTTTCTCGTCAATAGACAACGTCCCTAACCACTACACCAATTTCACATACATTAGTAATTTCGGACAAAACATACCTACCTTTATTTTAGTCAAATATTTCAGTTGAGTTATTTTTACTATTAAATAAATTTAAGATTTATAATTTAAAATCGCTACTAATGAATGTTTTTTACTATAATATATCTTAATTTATTCAAGTATTTATTCTAACATCAGATATTTTTGAGGTTATCAGTATAATTATGACTGAAGTCAAATAGCCACGTCTAACGTCTAAAGGTGTGAGACTGTCGATGGTGGTAATGCATTGTAATGTAAATTATAGGTTTCTATCGATTATTTCCCACCTCTACGAGTTTTATCTCTTTTTATTTCACAAAGTAACTGTGTTTTCTATCTCTTACGTTAAAAAGCCGGATGGTAAAGCACTCATCACTGTATTTTGAGTTATTCGACAGAAATATCTGCAAGTAGTGGAGTAAGACTTTTCCGTTCTTAAGAGCAAAGGAACCTTCAAGCATAAATTCAAAATACCCTATTTATTTTCTTTACTTCTTTCAGTACTTCAAGTTTCTAACCATCGAATCTTTGTGTTCCTTTCAGAATACAACGAAATCAAAGACAAACCAGGGGACAGCCTTTACGTTAGGTGCGGTTTCGATCGAAGCGGCAACGAAATGACAGAACCACCTCAGCTGTCATTTTCCAAAGACGAAGTTCTTTACGTCGACAACACGATGTTCAACGGAGTGCCGGGCCAGTGGCGTGCCTGGAAGTTGGACGGAGAAGGTCATCGACAACAATGCGGCGTGATCCCGAGTAAATACAAAGTCGAGGAGGAGTTACTGTTGAGAAGAGGTGCTGGCGATCCTTCAGAAGGTAAGAGAAAGACAAATCTTTGTATATGCGAGAAATGCTTGGGAGGTGCAGGACCGAATTAACAAAATAACTACGTGAAAATATGCTTCTTCTTCATTCTTTCTTTTATATTTTACGCACGGTGTGTCTTCTTTTACAGCTCGATCAACAGCTACAGCCCGTCGTAGTTTTTTCAGAAGAAAAAAGCACCAAAGAGGTGGAAGTGGCAGTTCTGGTTTAAGTACTTCTAGAGATTCGAAGGAACTCGCCAGTTTTTGTAACCTTTCACCTGGATGGTACTCTGATTCAGGTAAATTTCAATAGATAAGAGCTTTTAAAATCGAATTGTGTATTATTCTCTTCTTTTCATATATGACCTCTCTTTTTTTTTCTCCCAACTTTGTTCAATGAATCAATAATCTTATTCCCTGTTTCCTTTTCTGTTGGTGACATGTCTGTTTGTTTGTTTGTCCGTTTGGGGTTCGTCTACAACTAAAAATGTCTTATGTAATGTGTATTTACAGGCTCGCTGCATGAAGACTTATCCCAGTCGTCGTACCAACGCGTCGAGCGGCTACAATATCCCGAATTCCGTCCAGTGATCGTGCTAGGTCCTCTAGCCGAGTGTGTAGCCGACAAGTTGGTGCAAGACTTTCCAGATAAATTCAACAGAGCTTCATCAGAATCGAGACGGTGCTCTCAAGCTCAGCTAGACAGAGAATTGGCAGAGGGGTTGATTCTAGAGTATCGCCGACGGGGGTCCTGTTATGAATGTATAACAATTTCCGCTGTGAGATCGGTAAGTTCCTTTATGTTACCGTGAAATGGGGTGAGATTGATCAATTTTAACTTTATTTAATTTATATTTTAAACGTTTTTGTGACTGTTCTCTATTTAAACACTTTACGTGATATATTAATATCTAAAGAGTAGTGATTTAACACTAGTTTTGTTTTAATTATTAAGAAAATCCACTTATCTCATAACAAAAAAGGGTGATCAATCTTAGACCCGTACTGGGAAGAGATTGATCATGATGATTTTATAGCATGAAACAGTAGTGCTTTTAAATAGAATATGATCAATCTTAACCCTGACTAATTCAGTCAGACAGTTTTTCGCATTGTTACAAAGGGGTGAGATTGATCATGCGGGATGAGAATGATCACACTATTTTTATTGTACTATTCTTTATTTATACAAAAAAAAACATATTTTAACAACTAACAATGTAATTCAGAATAATTTATAAAAAAAAAACAAATTTGATTTAGCATTCTTTTATACTAATTTCCACGCGAAAATTATATTTTTATATCCTATCAGAAATCGTCTCAAGTGTCGGACCTGGTACTAAGGCAACTACTTCCTTAAAAGGAACAGTGGATATGTCATTTTCAATTATTTTGAAAATCTTCCTCGATCCTGTTGATTTAAGACCTTGAACTTCGATTTCTTCTCCTCTTTTTCTTTTCTTGTCTTGTCTTTTTCCGAGAACCAGACAAAAATCTCACTAACAAGAATTTTCCCTTCGTGATGTTTTCTAATGAAGGACAGAAGTATTCAACCTCCTCTTCATCTTTGTTAATATCAACATCACTGTTGCTGTCATCTAATTCCAGGTTTTCATTTGAATCATCGTCACTGGACTCCTTTGATGGTTTAGGTGCTGTTACACTTTGACCAGGTTCAGCTGCTAACAGTTTTCTTTTACGTCTAGGTTTTTCAGAGCCGGAGTCTTTCAAGCAGTTAGTAAGAGATCATCTAAGCTCGGCTTGATCAATGGCGTCTTGTGGTAGCTTTTCCAAAACTCGATTGGGGTTGAATGGTGCAATGCCACATGCTTCAAAACCAGAAATTAAATTTCTTTTTACAGCATTTTTCGCTCCATCTGGATTTTTAGGTGGTATTTTATTCATGATTTCAAGTGTTTGCTTTAACAGCTTAGGAAATTCATTTCTCGGAATGCCAGAGGTTTTTGAAATTTTGCATTTTCCATGATGTTAAAGTTTTCCTCTAGCTTTCTTTTAAGGGTCTGAAGAATGCGACATCCAATGGCTGGCAAACATTAGCAGAGTTGGCTGGTAAGCAGGCAAATATTATATTATTATTTTCTTCGCATTGTCTCACAACATCTGGATTAAAATGAGTTACAAAGGTTGTCTCCTATTAACCCCTTTTTTCCGTCGAGTCGCCTAGCACGCTGTAAGAAGCAAATGATAGGGATGGCCGTTTTTGACAAAACACCGGTTTTTTTTGCTCTCGATTTAACCTGGAGGTTATAACCGGCCAAAAAAACCAGTTTTCGGTTTTTTAATCCAATAGGTTGCAAAGTTACATTTATAATGCACTTCAGTTTGCCATACTTATTTATAAAATAAAATTTAAATCATGATTTTGTTTGGAATTATTACTTGAGAATAATAATTATGATCGGATCCAAAATAATACCTAACCTAATCCTAAAATCACAGTAAAAACCTAATAACCGGCTTTTACTTTATAAATAAAAAAACCGGTTATAAACGGGACAAAAAACAACCTTTAAAACCGGTTATTGCGTAGTAAAAAACCGGTTTTCGGTTAAAACCGGTAGGTTTTTCCCATCCCTAGCAAGTGACAAACCAATTATTGAATGTTGACATATCGATCCAACGAGGTTCGATTATATCGTGTCCCAGTGAACAAAATGGCTGTTCGCAGCATGGGCTGCCCTTGGGACCATTTTCTGTCCAAATATCCCATAAATTTTCCGCCTTCTATATGACCTAAGGTGGCAGAAGTATACCTGAGTCGGATCCACAAATCATTATCGATGTAGCCGATTTTGAATGGTTGCATATTTTTTCGGGATATTTAGTACCTCTTCGGTAGCTGCATTTTTTCCGGAGTCATCTAAGACGTTGGACTCTTTGGACGTGAAAGTATTTTTTAATCAGGTCCGGAGATACTTCTGCTCGGCTTTTTTTATAATCTTTTACCAGCAATACCTCCGTGTCTCTTCAACTAGCTATTTAGCCAGTCAATTCCAGGGATATTCTCCTTAAACGTAGATACACCAATTTGCCAGTTTTGTCCAAAAAACTTTTGAAGAACATTCTTAAATCCATTGCGCTCAGAGGATATCCCTAATTTGCACACGTTAAAATGCTATTTATAATGGCTACTTCTTCTTCATATGTGAATACAGATTGTCCACCTGTTTTCCTAATCTTCCTTCCTTGTTTGTACCAAATTTGTATTTTTTTAAGCTTTTCTTAGCAATAATCCATTTTCCAATACATTGTGCAACGCCTGATTAACTTGTTCTTCATTAAAATTGCCATACGTTCTACTGTCTAATTGTCTTTTGTACGTTCTTCCCATTTTGATTGATGTTCTTAAATCTGTAACAAAAATTATAAATTAATTTCTGAAACGTACGTAACGTGGGGTTAGATTGATCACTTGATCAATGTCACCCCACTCAATATTATCCGCCATCTTAAAAAGCTGGCGTTAGTTAAAATACTAGTTACTTAAATTTATTATTACAGAAGCATACAAAATAATTTTATAACACTAGAAATAGCGAACTTACCTCTGTTCTTTCTCTACCATCAAAAGTACACAAACTATAAAAATAGGCCAAAAATTATGGTTAATTTCAAAGCCACATAACTTCTTCCAATGTCAATTGCAAACTAACAACGACGTGAACTCATCATAGTCAAGATCCAAGAAATGAATAGTGCCCAGAAACAATTTTACATTGTTGCCGGTTGTATCTACATGTACGTGATATGACGACAAATGATCAATGTCACCCCATTTTTCGATAGTATTAATTACATTGCAACTCAGTATTCAACTGCGAGGCTATGAAACTCTCAAACCATACAAACAAGGGCATATTCAATATAAATTTGACAAAGGAATTTAGAAAATGTACATGTTTTTTTAGAAATTCCGGCGTATAATATATAGGAATCCATCTATATTGTAGGCAACCAGTTAAACTCAGAAGACTGGTTTCTGCATAATTGTATTCAATTTTGTTATAAAAATATTTCTTAATTCGATTTCAACTGTTAATTATATGCAACCAGTCAAACTGAAATAATTTGAAGATATTGGAACTGGTTGCATAACCAAAATTTTGAGATATATTTCCTACACTAAAAAAATTCACACTGTGTATCTATTAACATTTTTTCAATGTTTTAGGTGGCCCAGGCTCGCTTGCACTGCATGCTAGACGGTTCAATAACCATGGTGGAACGCCTCCATCGACACCACATCTACCCGCTGGTGCTACTAATCAAATTCAAAAGCACCAAACAGATCCGCGAGGTAAAGGACGCCCGATACAGCATCGACAAGTTGTCGGGTAAAGCCGCCAAGGAAATGTTCGAGCACGGGCATAAACTGGAATTGGAGTACCGACACCTGGTAACCGCCGTCGTGTCGGCGGGCGCTAATGTTGCTCATATTTGCGCTCAAGTCAAGGCTGCTATAGATGCTGAACACAGGAAAAGTCAATGGGTACCTACTGCTGCGCTGCATTAAGCTTTTTCTTCCTCGTAGCCTGGTAATATATCAGTGAAAGAGTTCTGTAAAAGGTATAATTATATATCAATTGGAGATTTAATGGTTAATTAAAAATGGAAGGAAAATTATAGAAATGATTTCTGATGAATTCTTGAAAGGGGTTTAAAACAAGAAGGCAAATGAGCTACTACAGTAGTAATTAAACTTTTTGTCTAATTCTTACATATATAAGATATATGTAATGAACTACTTGTCCATTGATGTTGTTTTGAACGTCATATTTTATGTAATATATAAACAAAATGTATTTTAGGAATTTTTTATTCCAGACGAAATGTTCTAACTTCTGTTTAAATCAAGTTTTCCGCGTGATTCTATTTAATTGTGTGATAAAAATACGAAATATGAAAAATTTCTGATTTTAAGTTAAATTTAATTTGAAAATTGAGAAATCTAGCGTGTATTACAAATATTTTTTTTTGTAATGAAAATCGAAAATTTTAAAACATAGTTACGTTATTTTTTTAAATAATATGTCACATAATATATGTTTATTCTCTGTGGAAAGTGGCTCTTTCCACATATTTATAACAGCACTATCCGAATGTTCATCTCTACCAATATACTTATTGTAATATGACTTGCAGTTCGCCCAAATTGTGAAAAGGAGTTAATCTCTACACTGTATGGCTGTGTTTTCATAGTAGCTCATCAAATATGTACACATTATCTTTTCTGTTATTTTTGCTATTTATAATAATTCATATTTTGTAAAATTTTGTAAGGTAATAATTTCCTTTCTTGCTGGAAAAGTGGAGGTTGCTTTTCTGAAAGAACACTGGAGCATTATTCATCAAAATTAATGATAGCTCTTCTTAACTTGGAACTAGTTGTTCACTTATCCATTTAGTGAATGAAGATTTCATTATTCATCATTTCTCCTCCAAAATCAACTTTACAACTCGTTTACTGAGAATAGGCAATCAACACTCTCACAAACCGCCAAATACACCCATAAACACCCATTTTACTATATGTTTTGTTATTATTTTGCATTTTTCACGTATCGACTATCATAAACTTTGCAAAACTACAATTTTCTGGCCGAGAATATTCTCATTCTCGAGAATATTGTATTCTTACATCACTGGTCTTGTGTGATAGTTTTAACATAACAGCTATTCTCTTAAATCAGGAATTGTTCAATGATATGTATTTTGATAGAAGAACATACTATTGAAAATGTTACCTGTTAAACAGATGAAAATGGCTCCAAAGGCTCTCCATCTATGTTTTCTAATTTGAAATTCTCCAACGTATTTAACACAACATGTGCTTTAGAATTTAATGGTTTACCAGGCGTCATCATCATCAATCAGCCAATCACGTCCACTGCTGAACATAGGCCTCCCTCAGTTCTTTCCAGTGTTCTCTACATTGGGCCGCTTCTAGTCAGTTTTATATCATCGGTCCATCTACTCGGTGGTCGTCCTCGGCTTCTTTTATAGTTTCTGGGCCTCCATTCCATAGTACGTCTTGTCCACCGTCCATCTTGTGTTCTGACTAAGTGCCTGCCCAATTCCACTTAAGCGTCGTGGTTCTTTCGTTGACGTCTTGAACTCCTGATCTTTGCCTGATTTGTTGGTTTGTTATGTGGTCTCGAAGGCTCACGTTCAGCATTGCACGTTCCATGACTCGTTGTGTAACTCTGAGTTTATTCGCAGATTTTTGCCGTGAGTGTTAAAGTCTCTGCTCCATAAGTTTGTACAGGCAAAACACATTGGTTATAAACCTTTCGCTAAGACACATGGGAATTGAACTTTTTACAATATGACTTAATTTGCCAAATGCTGCTCATGTTAGGCCTATTCGCCTCTGTATTTCATGTGTTTGGTTGCTTATTTTGATTTCGTGTTCCAGATATTTGTAAGTGTCTGTTTGTTGTATGGTATTATTATCAATAGTTATATGTCCACTCATTACGAGATTTGTTATAAGTTTAGTTTTCTCACAGTTTATCTTTAATCCTGCTCTTTCAGACAGACTTTTAAGCGAATCCATCATAGAAACTGTATCACGTAAGTTATCGATTAATACAACATCATCTGCAAACCTTAGGTGATTTAATCTTTCTCCATCTATATTGATGCCCATGTCTTGCCATTGAGTGCTCTTACATATTGACTCTAGAGCTGCCGTGAACAATTTTGGTGAAATATTGTCTTCTTGTCTAACTCCTCGACCTAAGCTGAATTTTTCTTTGTCTTCGTGTAGTCATATACTTGATGTAGCGTTCTCGTAGATGTTTTTGATTAGTGTCGTGTACCTGTAATATACTCGGCTTTGATTTAGGGCTTCCAGTATTGTTTCAAACACTACAGAATCAAAAGCCTTCTCGTAATCGACAAATGCAAGAACCAGTGGTATGTCGTACTCCATGCACTTTTCTATTAAGATCTTTATGGTATGCAAATGGTCATTTGTGCCATATCCTGCCCTGAAGCCTGCCTGGTATACTCTAAATATAAAACCCTTAAAAATATTTCATATCACTCCGTTAACGTCGTTTTATTCATATTTCAATAACTAAATGTCAATTTAGAGGTTAGAATAAATATTATATTATTCATCTTAAAGTATTACCCTAATAAATCAAACACAAAGGTAATTGTTAGCTGTTATAACAACTGTTTGTTAAAAATATGTTTATTAAAACTACGAAAAAGGATTGAATAATAAAATGACACGAAAGTAATTTATAAACACACTTCGAACGCTATCAAAACAAAACTTACACATACCAGTCGGTGAATCAATCACCGACTGTCGTCCTATGGCTGTCTTTGTTTGATGAATGCTGTTGTGTATGAATAGGCAGCTTGCGTTTACTAATTTAGTTTATGTGAGTACAAAAGAAACGTAATATAAAAAATATTCTCATATTTGTGCAAAGATTTAGCGATTGGACTGTACTCTCTTGTTAATGAGATGTTAAATACTCTAAAAATTAATATTTATTTTATATATCAGTTTAAAAATAAATTTTTATTACTAACGTAACTGTGTTATCAAAATTGTCCTTTGAAAATATTTTTAATACATGAAAGTTCCCTAAATTTCAAATATAGGCAACCAGTTAAACAGAAAATTAAAGCAATATTTAACTCGTTGCCTAACCAATGTTTTGTGATATTTTGAATATACTCCCGTTGATATATAATCATTAATTAATTATATATGTATTGTCAATCGTTGAAAACTTAGTCGACGTTGTGTTCCTATACAAACAAGCAATAAATGTCATTTTAGATCAATTTTTTCGTTTAGATCTTTTAGAATATCGTTATTTATAACTCTTTTTGAAAATTGTCATCTTTTAGACGTCTTTTACGACTAGATTGTATACATCGTCGTTGTTTACATCGTTCATCTTTTATAGAACTTTTATATCGTAAAGTATTAAGTGTCTTATGTACTACAATAGTCAACATTTATAATATTTATTAAAATATGTCGTTGGTATAGAAATGTAACTCTGTGTTACTAAGAAAATGTTGAAATTTTGTCACAGTGATAAAAGAACTATTATATTTTTAATTTAATTACACATCGATCGTGTCAATCAATAGGTCTTTGTATTACGTGACGAGTGTATGCGCAGCCGCCATGTTCAAGCAATAGTTTCGTACTGTTTTGATCAACAATTGAGAGGTTAGGCACTATTACTTGTCAGAGATATTTTTTAAGGTTAAAATGACAAATGCATGCCCTGAACAGTATTTAATAGAAATAATATATTTAAAACATTTATAAAATAATATGTATTGTCTTAAAATGATTTATAGTATCACTCTTCCATACTCATACTCCAAAAAAACACTGCTTCATTGTTCCTTTTTATCTTAATTCTGTATTCACAAATACTTTACTGTTATTTATGTTACTAACCTAATATGCTTGTTTACAACAAACAGTACGAAAAAAATGGCTGATACTAAATTGTGATGAAAAGGCCTATTGATCATTTCTTAACTAAACTCAAAGAATGTTTTAAATAACCCATGATACTATGACTTCTAAGATAACACCACTTCGCAATCGAATTTTGCATGATACTATGATAAGAAGATAAGATATTGCGCATAAGTCGTGACGTCATTGGAGAGTTGCACGTTCGCAATGTCAGTTTTTTGTAATGTGTCAATAAATAATATTTAATAAATAGTTTGGAGATATCCTTATGTGTACAATTATTGTAATTATTGAACTTCTTAACTTATTTTCATCCAGTAATTTCATCACAGAATGCATACAAATCCCATTTAACTTTAACAAGAATTCAAATTCTACTCCCCAATGACGGCATGCGCGAACACGACCGATTTTGTGCTTCGGGAAGATCCTATCTTGTTATTCATAGTATCATGGAATTTTGTACGTCGATGCGCATGACGTCACTTGGTGATAAAAGTTTATCATTAATTTAATATTCTGAAATATATTTTATCTAAAAGTGCACACATTTATTTGTCAACGTACTAAATAAACGATAAAACAATACTAAATCTGACAAAACTCCATGCAAAACAGAAAATTTCTGGTGATATTTGTCGCCGAGTGACGTCACACGTGCAAAAGAAATTGTTCTTTTAAGTTTATACAATACTGTGAAAGAACAGTTCCAAATATCAGCGATGTATTTTGAAAAGAACTGCCCAGTTCATTTTCAGTAAGAATAATAATTGAGCAACCAATAACTTACGAGTTATATAAAGAACATCCAACGAAAAGTATTGTTCATATTTTAGAATTGCATTTACGATTAACCATCTAAATGTGACAGAATTTTATGTATGTAAATGTTCATGTTATTTATTGTCCGAGAGGCATTTTGAGTTATAAAAGTGTGTTTTCGGTACAACAACCGGTATAAAACGACACTACAATTTCACAGAGTGTTAAATCTGAAAACCACATAATACATTACAAGGTGACAACACGTGCTTGGTGTATTCACTCTACCTGAACTCGCTATAAGTTAAGTCTTGGTATAAACATGAAACCATAATAATACATGTTTACGTCAAATCTCACGTCGCATATTACATCAAATGTCACTTGTCACTTCTTTGTGACTTCACTCACAAGCTTGTGCGATAAACTGAACCTTCAATACAAACCCCACGTTGGGTACCAATTGGTAAACTACAATCAAGGAAATGCTAATGTATAACCTATAATCAACTTTTGGAGTTAATGTGTAGCTTACAACCTACGATTTTTGTTAATTTGTCAATTAACAATGAAATAAAAGTGCAATCGAATACAAATCTTGCATATAAAGTTGAATCTAGAGTTCTCTGAAGTGGTTTGGTGCATATAATGTGAGTCTAGAGTTCTTTGAAGTGGTACTAGAGGAATGGATTTGAAACAGTCATGAAAGGACACCACCACTTGATGGTAGCCCAAGATTTCACAGAAGTCATGGAGAAGTACCAAAATCAATAAAAAAATAATTCACTTAAGTAATACTTACATGGGAATCTCAAGCTTTTACTAAATGGGGAATCTAACACATGAAGAAAGAGTTATTTAATCACTCCTCTGGTCCACAAGTAGCTATTTAGGAATACAGGTATACCTTCCAAGTGTAGGATAAATCGATAATTTCACCAAATCCTAACACAATCCAATATACTTAAAACCGCTTAAAGACTCACTCTGCCTCTCTTTAAAAATCAAAAGGAGCATTTAAAAGACACGTACTATTTAAAGTAGTATCCTTGTTTAATGTAATTCTTACATTATTTCACAAATGGTTTCTTGTTTACTTAAAAACTTTGAAATTTAGTAAGAATTACTCTACTAGGACGTTACATCAATTCACAGTAAAGAAATTATAGGATAAGGTAAAAATTTGATATATAGTAGTGTTATTTATTGAATATGACTTTTTATAAGTAGGGCATACTCTATTAATTTGTAACTGTGTGATATATGGATTGAAATATATTTCTAAATAAAGTTATTCAAAAATATTAGTAGTTTTATTGAACCTATATACGAAAAATCGATCTTTTGAGTTTCTGTGGCACACAGTTGCTGCTGGTTTTATGAAAAATGAAGGTAAATTGAACTTTAAAGGTTCAGAGAAGGTGTTAGATCAAATCAACCTAGGGAGGAGAAAATTTTACTTTTAACACAAAAATGCCTTCATATTAATTAAGTATTTTTTTATGTTACTAAACAATTACAGCTTATTTAATAAACTTGAGAATGTTTTGCAGATCCATTGTTGAAAATATACAATATAAAAATTCTTTCTCAATACTGTTTATTCATGTTAAAAATACTAAATCTTCTTTTTCTTCTTTTGGTGCCTATCCTCTGTGGATATTGGCAATCACGTTGGTTCATACAACTTTTTTGACAGCTGCTCTAAATAGATATATGGTAGTCATTCCTGCCCACTATCTGATGTTCTTCAACCACGATTTCTCTCTGTGCCTTTGAGATCTTTTGCCTTTTATCTTGCCTTGTAAAATTAGTTGATACTTCTCATTGCACATCACATGCCCTAAGTATGTCATCTTTCATATTTTCATGATACGCATAATTTTAAGACCTTAATTCATACGTTGGATCAGAGTGTTGTTTGTAACATGATGGATATAGGAAATTCTGAGCATGCAGTGGTAGCATCACATTTCGAAGGCTTCGAATCGTTTGGATGTTGCCTCCATTAAGGTGCAGGCTTCGACTCAATAAGGCGTAATTATTGATTTGCTGTTAAATTTTGATGTAGATTGATAATATAGAATTACTATACAACCAAGTACTGTAAACATCACACAGGAAAATCCAACCTTGTGTATGAGGTGAGTGATGGCTTTATCCGAAGAGGTGGACAGTGACGTGATTATGCTTTTTATATAATTAATGGCACTATTGACAGAATGGATAAATATGTAAGCAATGCACTTGTATCAAATTGGTACGAAAATAAGGATTTTTGCTGGTTCTTCATAACTGGTACCTGCTGTATATTTGCTAATAGGCAATATTAATAGTAACTTAGAAATAAAAAGGTACTGACATGCAGCTTATTAACAAAATAAAACCACTTCAATGAAAACGAAAGGTTAGAATTTATTTATTTATTGAAATTATATACTTGCTTATTAATTTGTATTTACAGATGGAAAAATTAGTAATTACAAATAACTTCTTGTACCGTCACTATTTGTTTAGTATAAATATAGTCATCACACTGCCAAGAAAATTAATAACTAAATTTTAAAACTATTTCATCCGATTTTACTTTGAAGTATTGATTCACTGCTCTAGTTTTGGATTCTGTTTTCTATTTTTTGAATGCTTTTTTATTCATTGATATAATTATTTTCCAGATCTTATATAAGTGACTTACACAATTCATTCATATTTTTAACTTGGAATTATAGTTTTATTATAAATCAAATGCCTATTAATTGTCCAAAAATTATAACTTTATTATCAGTCCTTTTATATTTACAATTATCTTCATACAAATCTTGCAAATTAAACAAAGAGCATTTTAAAACTAACAATACTTTTGAATGTCATACCAAACATTGTTCCCTGAAAGAAAAAAATATTAGGATTCAAAAGTACAGAATGTGACAATAATGTCTAAGAGGTACTTAAATTGACAATACTGTACATCATAGTGTTAATAAGAACAGAGCTTGAAAAAAAACATGTAGAAAACAATAAAAGCACAAAAAAACATTTCATTATTGATATGGGATAAGAAATTCCAATTCTGCTATAAGTAGCAAAAGGTATTAAACCTGGTAAAAAAATTAAATTATTGAGGATACCTAATTAATTCAAAATTTGCTGACCTGTGCCTACATATGCAGAATATACCCAAGACATTTATCATCTTTCATCAACCGACAATACTTGTAGCACCTCTTAAAGACAAGTACCCAGCCGTAATATCCATGGGTAGGTCTATAATTGTAGCATACTCATCCTTATTTGCAAACCTTAATCTTGTTTGTGGATCAGTGTATGGAGCAGGCAAACCAGAAAGATCAGAAAACTTCTCTGGTGGCTTAAAAGAAGGTGGAGCGTTAATCGAGCCGTAATGGACGCAATCTTCTGGCCACGGTAGAGCTTTCTCGGATGAAATGATTTGTTTCAACCCTTTCCATACATATTTCTTTTTGTTAGCTTTTATTATGTGGAAAGATGATGCTTTAAATATCGGTTTTTGCTCTGGTTTCGGTTCTTCTGTGACTGTAGTCATTTTAGATATGTTTCGCACGTCTTTTAATCTTAAAAATACTTTTTATTCTCCAGCTTTTAAAACATAATACTTTCATAAGTCAATCAACAATCAAGTCAAAACAAAAACATCACAGTACATAGCCCTCCAGGAAGGTAAGTCCTATAGAAAAATTTGGGAGACAGTTTCTAGCGCCAAATGCGGACGGGCCGAAACTAATTTTTTTTTGGCGGCAAATTTTTAAAAAGTAGGTTCCTAATTTTAGGCAACAAATTAATAAAATATGCTTTGAATTTTGGGTGAGAAAATTCAATAACTATGCTTTAATGTTCTGAAGCTATTTTCTTGTGGCATTGTAAATTAATTACTATTTATAACTGGTAAAGATAAAAATACGTTTATTGACGTTTCAATTTCCAATTCGGAGATCCTTCTCAAAATACAAACAGTAAATTTACTTTTGTATTTTGAGAACGATTTCCGAATTGAAAATTGAAACGTCAATAAACGTATTTTTATCTTCAATTGTGGCTTATTCCCAGTTATAAATAGTAATTAATTTATGCTTTTAATGGAAAATAAATATAGTCATAAAATAAACAATAAAAACTTATTATATGCCAAAAAGTATATTCTCTCTGTCCAAACTACTTACTTTACTTTTTCTCCAGTCCAGAAAACAACAAAATAAAACACAGATATCCTGACACTTGTTTATTTGTATAGTTTTCTTTGATAAAGTATTGACAACAAAAATATCTTCCTCCTCTTCATTGGTTAAGCCCTTGTCAGGGTGTGGGTGTGGAATTGTGGATACTCTAAAGATTGTTAGCTTACTGTCTCCATTGGCTGCCATCCATTGTACCAGATGGACAACTTTATGTAGGGATTTTTCCACCAAGCTTCATTTAATCTTCCCATCATGTTGGAGATCTTCCTAATGATAAACAAATATACAAGATGCCTCTATATTCAGTAGTACTGATTTGTTATAAGTTCCAATGGTTCCATTCCTTCTAAAATAATGTACAAACTAGTATTGAGTTTTTATTTACTAACAAAAGTTTGGTAATAATTAATAGGTGCTGTTCTTACCTGGTGATTGTAAAAGTAAACTCCTAATCCTCAGAATGTTTAATACCCCTTCGTCCAACCAAAGAATATAGACGCATATGCGTTTATATTCTTTTGTCCAACTTTAACTAACTTTCACCCTTCCACAAAAAATATTCTAGATTTTTTGGATTTGGAATACTATACCATTTTGGTATTGTATTTTGTTCCCTTTTAGCAGTGTTTATTAGATATATAAACATTGATGTATACTGTATACTGTTTTTATCTCCTATTTCTAAAATTTGGTATACAATGTTTGTATAATGCCATTTTTGCAATTGCAAATGCCAATGCAAATATTGCAAGATGCAAAGCGAGTGGATTACAATGTTGCCATTCTTGATTACTAACACATTTTTTTGTGTATACTCAAAATTCTTTAGAAATAAGTTATTGTGAATTTAAGTTGTGATTTTAGTAGAATTTTCTATAATCTTTGTTTTTTTGGAAAACTTATTTGGGTAAATATGCAAAACTAGTGAAACATGGCAACAGTACTTACATCAACGTCATACGCCTCTTGCTATGTCATACTTCACCTAACGTGACTAGTAGCTCCGTCGCTATTACGAACGGTTGGGCCCACACAATTCACTCTTCCTTTTTCCTATTGCATTTACACTGCTATGTGTGGTATATACTGTGAACATCATTGACATTATGGCAATTTGTATTGTTGAAAAAGTTTGCTTGTAACATAGACAACCAGTATTTCGTAATATCAAACAGCATAAGAAAAATTTCATTTTATAAAACTTTAGAACTTATTAAATAGACAGTTCTTTTCTAGTCACGGTTTTTAATTTCTGTCATCTTTCGTGGAAAAAAATACCTAATAACATAAATCCATTTCTAACAAAATTGGACAATTCGTCACGACCTGGCGAATGGAGGTCGTGACGAATCTATTTTATATCACTTATAGTTGTAGACGGCAATGAATATTATAAACATCAGCAATGTTATTAAGCATTTTTAAGATAAAAAGATATTCACTCATCAAAATATTTTGTTAAGTTACAAAGATAATGTTTATGTTGCCTAAAAAAAATATTTCGCGGAAAAACTCATTAAAAAATCAATCAATTTTGCCCAGCATGAATTTAGCCAATCCACTTGAGATGTACAATCTTATTTGAACCAGAATGACGTAAATATCGCCTACATATATTTTGTTTTTACGATAAATCTTTGACATGACGGACTATTTGATATACAAGGTCAATTTTTTATTATGTTTTAATCAGTATGATAAACTCTTTGATATATGTACAGGTCGAGACGAATTATATATTAAATGAGTTTTGATTAGACGATCAATATTTTGGGTATCGCTGAGTGCTTTTTGTTAACAAAGTGTTAAATTGTTGGTGTTATCTTTTAATGAGTACAGCATAGATACAATAGCTACAATATATTGTAAATAGTAGTTGGGAGTTGTAGTTATTCTCATTAAAAAAATCTGTTTGTGCACAAGTATGTCCAGAATGGTATAAACATTTTTAAAACCATTCTCGCGAACAATTTATGGTTGGCAAAATATTTTATCCAAAGTTAAAAAATCCCCATATAAGGCATTCTGCTGATCAATTGTATTTTAAGTCGATTGCTTGATCTTGAAAGTATTCTGGAATTATTAA